TATATATATATATATATTAGGGCTGTCAGTTTAATGCATTAACTTAATTAATTAGTTATAAAAAAAATAACGCAATTAAAATGTTAACGCAGTTAACACACTGGCCCCAGCCCCAGATCTGTACATCGTCTTACATTTCATATAGTTGGCTGTTGACAAATATGATGCAGGGCAACAACTCCATAAATGCAGTTATGCCCTAAAATTCAAGATACTGGTGCAAAAATGCCCCTGTATATGTTTTTGTCTCATTTTTATATCGAGGAGGGAGAGCAGTAGGCTATTACACGAGTGCTGATTTTGTCCCGAATATCACGAGTTTAAATGTGATTTTATACAACAGTTCAGTAAATAAGAAGTTGATATTGTGTTATATTTTAACCACAATATTATGTGGTTTTGCTAAATTTTTGCAAAGAATAAATTATCTTTAAAGCCATAGCAGAATTGTTGTGCGTCTCCGAGCAGCACAGCGGTGTTTAGTTTCTGAATGAATCCGCGTTTTGAACGAATCGTGTGAATCAATGATTCAAAGGCCCATTCATAAACAGCCCATTTACTTAATTCCTGAATGAATCAGCCGTTTGAATGAATCGAATAAATTACATTTACCGCCACCTGCTGGCAGATTTAGTTTCTTATTTAGAGTATCATTTAATAATAATAATAATAATAAAAACATTAAAGGGATAGTTCACTCAAAAAAAATTTAATTCTGTCATCATTTACTCTCCCGTCCCTCATATTGTTTCAAACCTTTCTTTTGTGGAACATAAAAGATGGTATTTTCAAAGACTATAGAATACCCTTAAAGGGACTTTGGTATTTTTAAGACTGTTGGTAACAAAGCTGTTTTGGTTACCAATGACCAGTGTTGGGGAAAGTTACTTTTAAAAGTAATGCATTACAATATCGCGTTACTTCCTAAAAAAGTAACTAATTATGTTATTGAATGTAATGCATTACATTACTTTTGCGTTACTTTTTAAATCTGGGCTGAGCTTGCTTGTTTGCTTTTAATATAAAAAGTTCTATTTTTGGCAAATATAAAAGCCCTTTCACACCAAAAGCCTGTGTTTTTTCAGATGTATTTCCAAGAAAAAAACATCGTCTTATATTCGGGTCAATACGGTATTTAACATATGTAATTATTGCAGCTTTGAGTCATATTCTGAATTGCGTTTAACTGTTTTTATTAATTTTGAGGAAAACTAAATCTGATTTTTTTTTTTGTGAGTGAGTGAAATGAATTAATGCTTGTTCACATTTATTCTAGAACTAAAGTAACATCTTACTCCCGATTTCTCTCAACAAGGGGACAGGAGAGCTTTCAATCAATAAATGGGGAAAAAATTAACTGGCGTTACTTATTTGAAAAAGTAACTCAGATATTTTCTTATAAATTAAAAAGTAATGCGTTACTTTACTGGTTACTTGAAAAAAGTAATCTGATTACGTAACTTGCGTTACTTGTAATGCGTTACCCCCAACACTGCCAATGACTTTCATTGTATGAACAAGAAATACTGAGATGTTTCTCTAATTATCTTCTTTTATGTTCCATAGTTTATGTTAGGCCGTTGTAGCCTAAATGTTTGTGTAATAATTTTTTTTGTTCAATCAAATAAAATGTTTCTAAAGCTACAATTTGTAATCTCTACTTGATACTTTCTCATTTAACACAAAAATATCTTTAAATAATCGTTTGTGGGTAATTTCACAGTCAAATTTATTTTGCGATTAATTAGATTAATTAATCGAAACATCATGTAATTAATTAGATTAAAAGTTTTAATCAACTGACAGCCCTACTCTAAACAGAAATAAGTTCAATAATTTAGGAACTGACATTGTTCTTTAAAAATAAGCTGTTGAACATGCAACTCATTATTCATTTTATTCATCTTTACCTCCACTACAAAACTCAAATCAATGGCAATATATGGATGTAAATATTTATTTTTTTTATAATTATTTGTAACTTGTCACATACTATTTGTGTTTTAAAAATGAATAGTACCTCAAACTACTCCTTTTCCTGTCATTTAGACTTAAAAAAAAAAAAAACCAACGGATAATAAAATGGGCCAAAAAGTCTCATACTGTAGACATACATTCTAGCACTTTTATGGCTATTCAGACAACCTTACAAAACCCCAGCAGTGCCCTCCTTAACATTGAAAGTGCCAAATCAGCGTGTGACAGGAAGTTGTGCACACGACATGGCGGTTTAACAGGAAGCCTCGGGCCAACGCTGGTCCATCTCCTCTCCCAGATGTTACACGCGGTGCGTGTTGATCGCTGACCCCTTTCAAAGCATCTCTATTTTTCTTCTAAACATCAGACCCTCATTAGAAACCAAACAATGAGTAAAACCGCTATTGTGGTGCCCCTGGGTCCCTCATCACAGGAAGAAAGACCACATCCCTTCATTGTGTCTCTGTCTATCCTCAGTTCATTTGCACTGTAGTGTCTGCTCATCAAAGGCCTTGGGTTTAGACGGGTCACCTACACACACACATGTGTACGTGCCTGTGTTATGTGAGGGCTGCCAAACAATTCATAATCGTTGTTACAAACAGTCATTTCTCCCATGCATTACTTCCTCAATGAGGTTTTTGATGGCTAAGATTGTACATATCAGGCCAGAACTTCTCTATTAATCAAATTACCTAGAGCCTTATATGTAATAATATTATCATTGTTATTTTATTGTTTTTTTTTATAATAATATATATTGAATTTGAAAAAGAAATACAAGTAGTATTATATTTCATTTTGATAATATATTATCATTTAATTATTTTTATTACATTGTGTGTTACATTGCAAAATTAAAACTCGTGCATGGTTAAATTTGGGGTTTATTTATGGATTTAGCTGCTTTGTACTTTGTTAAATCTTTGCTGTCCCAGATCTGTTCAAGAAGAGCAGCTGTATGTCATTGACACTGACTATTATTGGACCATTAATTCTCATTAGGCACAAAAAAACGTCATAAAGAGCTGCACTGCAGTATCTATTCACAGAGAAAAACCTCCTCCATTTTTCCACCCTATTCAAATTCAAAGCGGGTTAGATGTGCCACCGCTTAGCCAGGGTAAATTACGGCAGAAATGCGACGGCAGGCAAAAGGAAAAATGACACACTCGGGAGAAATATTTTTCAGAGAATGGAAGAGTATGAAAAGATATAATGACAGTGTTGAGTAGATTTCACCATCTGCCTTTTTAGAGGATATGAGTGTGTGTGTGTGTGTGTGTATTTATATTTCATTCCAACCAATGAATGTATCCAAACCTGAAATACTCTCCATAAACACCCACCTTCATACAGTATTTGTCAGTTTCTTTTACCACCCACTGTCAGCACAAAATATACCATCTTAATTCCCAAAGAGCAGATTTGGCTAATGATCAGCCATTAACAAAAATAAAGCATCTTTTATAAGAGTCTGCTAGAATCCAGCAGATCTTTGGACAGGAAACTAGATTGCTAGCTTGCACCATAAATGTCCATCCTGTTAGCAGCTACATGGTGTCCTTCTGTGTGATGGATCAGTCTGCGTGATTCGTGTTTAGAGATCGTTGACAGAGTTAAAGTCTTGTTTTTCTGACTGAAGCCCTTTGGGATCTGGTCACGGTGACTGGACATCCTGGATGTGTGAAAGTTGGTGTTGCCGAAACGTCCGGCCCTGCTGGAAAATCCAGCTAAAACCATCTTACGGTGTTTAGCTGGTTTCTAACTGGCACAGGATGGTCCTTAACTGATTCAAGCTGGTCTAGATCATTGATCGGCCACTTGAAGTACTTGAAAGAAAACCGTGACACATGCCCAAAAAACATGGCAAATTTTATTATTATTGTGATTATGATTATTATGATTATTATTTAGTGTTACTAGATTATTAGCCAATGAGGTGAACAAGGAGATTATAAAATAATTATTGAAATATAGATGTAAATGTGTACTAATTATACTAATAGGAATGAATATTTGTATTAATAGCTATCAATATCAATATTAAAAGGTAATATTAATAAATGTAATTAATGCTAATACCACTTTATTGCTGTATCTGTTGATAAGTATGAATTAATATTAACCAATATTATTATTAATATGTATTATTAATGTCAGTACTAATGATAAATATGAATAAACATTATTAATAATGGCATTAATAATTCATATTAATAGGCTGTTACATATAATACTAATAGTATTATTGATTTTAGTATTAGTAGCAGTTAATATTAAGTGACACTTTTATTTATTTATTTATAAAAAAATAAATGTTATTAATATCATTACTACTTAATTAACAATTAATAAAAAAAATAGACATTGGAATATATAAATTTA